CTTTCCCTATCTACTTAACTACCATTGCTCTCTTTCTCCCTATCTTCTTCTCTCTCCCTCCCTCTTTAATCGTCTTATCCCTCTCTGTCCCTCACTCTTCACTCTCACATTCTCCCTCATAATCTCTCCCTTAGCCTCTTCTCTAACTCTCCCTCTCTCTCTCTCTCTTTCGCCCTCTCACTCTCAATATCTCTTACCCTCCATCTCTTTCTCCACTTTCTAGCTCTCCCACACTCTTGCTTTCACTTTCTCCCTCCCTCGCTCCCTCCATCCCTCTCTTTGCATATCTCTACTCACTCACTTACTCGTTCTCTCTAGCTCTCTCTATCATTATCACTATCACTCCCATCTTCCCCTCTCTCTTTTTCCATCTCTTCTATTCTCTCACTTTTTTCATCTATTTCTATATCTCTCTATCTCCCTATCTCATTCTCCATCCCTCCCCATCCCTCTCTCTACCTTTCTTTGTCTCTCTTTCTTCTCTCTTTCTCACACTCTCTCTCTATATATTTTTCTCATTCTTTCTCTCTTTATCTTTTATTCTTCTCTTTTTATCTCCTCTTTCTCTGACTCTCCCTTGCAAGAGTGAGAGGGAGGGGGGAGAAAGTGAAAGAAAGAGAGAGTGGGGGAGCGACAGAGATAATCAGAGGAGGAGAGTGAGAGTGAGGGAGTGAGAGAGTGAGAGAGAGGGAGAGAGAGATTTGGAGATGAGAATTTGAGTTAGGAAGATGGAGAGCTAGAGGGATGGAGGATGAGAGATAGATTAAAAAGAAGTAGAGTGCAAAGAGGGGGAAAAAGAGGAAGTATGTGAGGGAAGGAAGGTGGTAGTGAGAAAAAAGAGAATAGAAAGATCTCTTTGCCTCTCATGTTCTCTCTCTCCATCTATTTCCATCTCTCATTTTTTCTTCTCTCATATTTTTTTCTTGCTCTTCTTCTTCCATCTCTTCATCTCTCTTTTTCCTCTCAATAGCTATCTCCATCTTCCTCACTTTCTTATGCTCTCCCCCTCTCTCTTCAAGAAATAGAAGAGGTGGGGGAGAGAGAGAGATAGGGGATACAGAGTGAGGAGAAAGTGAGGAGGAGCTGAAAAAGGAAAGGAGAGAGGGCTATAGAGATAATGGTTAAGGAGTGGTATAAGGGAGGTATGGAGGGAGAGGGGAGAAAGAGATAGAGCTCTCTATATAGAGAGCAAGAGCTCTCTATATCTCTAGCTTTCTCTGTTTCTCTTTAACGCTCTCTCACACTGTTCATCAAGCTTCTCTCACCCTCCAACCCCTTTCCCCTCTCTCTTTAGAGGGAGAGAAATTGGAAGAGTTAGAGAGTGTCGGGAGAGAACAATAGAGAAAGGGAGATAGAGATACATAAAGGGTGAGGCTGAGAGAGTGGAAATGATGTTAGGAAGCTCTAAGGGATATACAAATAGAAAGGTGGATGTCAAAAGAGAAAGAGAGACTTCCACTCACATTTCAAACTACCTCTCTCACTTACTCTTGCTCTCTCCCCCTCTCATTCTCCTCTGACTCTACCTCCTACCCTTACTCCCGCTCTCTCACACACTCTCTCCTACTCTAACTCTCTCACACACTTTCTCTCCTCTCTCTTTAGCTTTTTTTCTCTCTCTATGACACTACCTTCTCCTTTAATACCCCTCTCTCCGTTTGTTTCTCTCTCTCATGCTCTCTCTTTCTCCCCCACTCTCACATACTCTTTCTCTAACCCTCCATTCCCTCATCTCTTTTCTCCCACACTCTCCATCATCATTCTTTCTCCCACTTTTCTCACAATTAAATAGATAGAGAGATAGAGAGATAGAGCGAGAGAGAGTGAGAGAGAAAAATAAAGCATAGGAGGGAGAGGATATAGAGAGCTAGAGAGGGTTAAAAAGGGACATGGAGGGAGGGAGAAAGAGAGAAAATGAGAGGGGTGAGAGAGATGGGAGAGGGAGAGCACTAGAGAGAGTGAGGGAGAAAATAAGAGAAGAGTGATAAAGACAGAGAGAGATATATAGAAAGAGGGAGAGGATGGGAGCATGAGAGAAAAGATAGAGAGCAAAAGAGAGTAAGGGTGAGAGGCTGACATGGAGCTAAAGATTATGAGAGATGGGAGAGAGATAGAGAGAGTGAGTGACGGAAACACTCTGTCTCTCTTTCCCCTTTTTTCTCATTTCAATTTTTCTTGCTTGCTATCTCTCTTTCTCACTCCCTCCCCATCCCTTTGGAAGGGAGGAAGAAAGAGATGAAGAGATAGAGTAAGAGAGGAAATAAAAGAAGAGTGGGAGAAAGATAGATAGTTCGAGAGATAGAGAGAAAGGGAGTGGGATTAAGGGGAGATTGAGAGAACTATTAACTTTCTCTCCCTCTATCTCTCGCTTTTTCTCTCAAACTATTAACATATGTCTCTCTACCTATCTCTTTTTCTCACTCTCCACTCTCTACACTCCTTTCTCTCTCTTTATATCTCTCTTTTTTCTTCATGTCCCTATTAGTCTCTCCCTCCCTCACTTTTTGTATCTTTATCTCACTTAACTCTCATTGATGTGCATTTATGCAAGACAGGATTATGGGCATTGATGTTCTTTTAGAAAACCAAATGTGCTATGCCAAAACAAAACGGAATTGATAGAAATTCTTATAAGATGCAAAAAACCAAACTATAAAACCATCCCAAGGCCGGAACAAAATGAATTATTGGTAGAACCTGGTGGTGAAAGGGATGAATGGAAGTAAACCTTGACCCAATGCTCAATGCAAACAAGAAAGTTGGTATAAGATTGTAACCCTATGCTTGAGGGGAGGAAAGAACCTTGGTACAATGGAAGACCCACAAATAGGGTGGAAATTTGCTTGATAAGTCAAGAAAAAACTCCTTAGGCGATGGCCTCGAGTTTTGTTGGACTCTTAAGAAAATCGGGGGAGATAACCCAAATGCAAGTTCTTTTACCAAAAAAAAAGTCCCTTTCTCATTTGAAGTAAGGCCTATATACAGGCTAATCCTTACAAGAAATCAAAAAAAAAGATAAACTATCTTCTAAAACAAATGAAAGAAAAACTACATCAAGTTGGCATGCAAGCCATTATTAAACCGCAATAAAAAATATGAAATATCCAACCATAATAATATGAATCTTTTATCCTTGGGTTTGGAATAAGTTGACAAATCTTTGTGGCTCTTTCTCCTTAGATCCCCATGAATTGGCATGAGTCCAAGACTCCTGGACTAATCCATTAAGAGCTTCTTTCACCCTCTTTGCCCGACATCTAGTAATTGGCCCACATGGAACTTGAATTAAATCTTCTCTTGAAGTCTTTTCATTGTCATCCATGATATAATTTGCATCATTCCCCTCCTCTTGAAAAGGATTTGTCCTCAAATCAGTGCCTGCATCAAAAGGACTTAAATAAGTAATATTGAAAGTGGCACTCACATTATACTTACCTAGTAGATCCATTTTGTAGGCATTGTCATTGATACGCTCAATCACTTGGAAAGGACCATCTCCTCTTGGAAGTAGTTTGGAATGTCTTTGTTCTGGAAATCTTTCCTGTCTTATGTGTAACCAGACCCAATCTCTAGGTTCAAAGATCATTTTATGTCATCCCTGTTGGCATGTTTTTCATATTACTTTGTTCTTTGTTCAATATTTAGTAGTGGCTTCTCATGTATCTGCTCTACAAACTCAGCCTTTTTCTTACCATCCAAGTTAACATGCTCAGAAACAGGTAATAGAATTAAAATAAATGGCGTTAAAGGATTAAAATCATAAACAATTTCAAAAGGTGAAAATTTAGTAGTAGAATGAACTACCCTATTATAAGCAAACTCAACATGTGGTAAACAATCTTCCCATGCTTTGATAATTTTTGTTATGATTGCCCTTAGCATTTTAGAGAAAGTCCTATTTACTACTTCAATTTGACCACCAGTTTGAGGGTGACAAGTAATAAAAAACAACAATTTGGTTCCTAACTTATACCACAATGTCTTCCAAAAGTAACTCAAGAACTTAGGATCTCTACCAGAAACAATTGTTCTAGGCATACCATGCAATCTTATAATCTCCCTAAAGAACAAATCTGCAATATTAGAAGCATCGTCAGTTTTGTGACATGGAATAAAATGTGCCATTTTGGAAAATCGATCCACCACCACAAAAGTTGAATCTCTACCACGTTTTGTCCTAGGCAAAACTAGCACAAAGTTCATAGAAATATCAATTCAAGGTGCATTAGGAATTGGTAAATGAGTATACAAACTGTGGGGTTGCACTCAAGATTTAGTTTGTTGACATGTGTGACTTGTGACACACCTACCACAAATCCTCTCAACATCCCGCCTTATGTGTGGCCAGTGGCCAATAAAAGTGTTCCTACAGAACAACTAAAGTCTTTGCTCCAAAATGTCCCATTAATCCCCCACCATGAGATTCCTGTACAAGCAATTTTCGCAATCAACTTTTAGGCACACATAACTTATTTTCTCGAAATAGAAACTTATGTTATTTAAAAAATTCAACGCTAGCAGTTTTATCAAAAGCTTGATATTCATCACGAAAATCAACATCCTCAAGGTATAAATCTTTAATATGTTCAAAACCAAGTAACATCAAGAATAGATAATAATGCATACCTTCGAGAAAGAGCGTCAGCAACCACATTTTCCTTACCTTGTTTGCATCAAATGACATAAGGAAATGTCTCAAAGAACTCCACCCAATGAGCATGCCTTTTTTTTGTGTTGAACATTCAAGTGCTTTAAGGACTCATGATCAGTGTGAATCACGAACTCCTTATGAAAAAGGTAGTGCTGCCAAGTTTATAAGGCTTTAAGCAATACGTAAATCTCCTTGTCATAAGTTGGATAGTTTAAGGTGGCCCCACTCAACTTTTCACTGAAATAAGCAATTGGTCTTTGCTCCTGCATAAGAACAGTACATATGCTAATTCATTAACCATCACATTCAATTTCAAATGTTTTAGAAAAATCAGGTAAAGTCAAAACAAGGGCGTGGGTAAGTTTTTCCTTGATTAATTGAAATGCCTTTTAGTGCGCTTCTCCGCACTTGAATCCATCATTCTTCTTAATTAATTTAGTGAGTGGTACAGTGCAGCTACGCTACTAAATTCTTTCACAAACTATCGGTAGAAACTAGCAAGTCCATAAAAACTATGAACATTGCCTATACTAGTGGGACTAGGCCAGTCATGTATAGCACGCCTTTTCTTCAGCAGCCTATATATCCTGCACACTCACAACAAATCCTAGAAAGCAAAGTTTATTGGTGCAAAAGGTTTAGTTTTCCAAGTTACCAAATAACTTTTCTTTTCTCAAAACATCTAAAATATGTTTTAAATGTTCAACGTGATCCTTCAAGTTTTTTCTATATATCAAAATATCATCGAAATAGACCACAACAAATTTTCCAATAAAAGCTCAGAAAACATGGTTCATTAGTCTCATGAAAGTACTAGGTGCATTAGTCAAACCAAAAGACATAACTAACCAAAAGTAGTCAAACCAAAAGACATAACTAACCATTCATACAAATCATATTTTATCTTAAAAGCAGTTTTCCACTCATCGTCTTTTTTAAATCTATCTTAGAAAACACACAAGATCCATGTAACTCATCAAGCATTTCATCTAAGCAAGGAATATGATGTCTATAATTTACCATAATATTTTTGATAGCTTGAAAATCCAAGCACAATCTCCAAGACCCATCCTTCTTAGGAACTAGAATTACAAGAACAACACATGGATTCATGTTCTTCTCACATACCCCTTCTCTATTAGTTCCCCAACCTGCCTTTGTAACTGTTTTGTCTCCTCAGAATTTCTTCTGTAGGTTGGACAGTTTGAAATGGTGGCTCCTGGTATAAAATCAATTTGATGCTCACTCCCATGAATGGGTGGTAAAACATGTGGAATGTCTTCACGAAAGACATCCTGAAACTCTTGCAAAAGAGAAATAATAGAACTAGGAAAAGTATTGTCACATTCATTAGTGTTTAAGAATGCCTATATGTAAAGAAGTACAATCATTGGTTGGTTTAAAAATAATGCTCTCTTAATCTCACTTGCCTTTGCAGCCTTTGCATAAAAATTTCCTTCTTCTCTCTTAATGGCTGCTTGTTCCATTTCTTCCTTTTTCTCATTTGGGTCAGCCTCTTTATATTGATCACTGCTTTTCATTTGACAATAATCATTTCGCAATCTCACTTGATCCTCGTAGACCTCCTTTGGTGTCATTGGCACAAGAGTGATAATTCTATTATTGACTTCAAATGAGTATTTCTTAGTGAAACAATCTTGTTTAACTCGTGTCAATTTGTCATGGTCAGCCTAGTAACAAATGGCCTGCTTGCATTCCTACTACATCACACAAGTCTTCATCTTCATATTTTCTAATGTGGAATGAGACCAAAACTTGCTTGTTCACCTTTACATCACCATTATCATTAAACCATTGCAACTTTTAAGGCCGAGAATGCTTGATGGTTGGTAGTCCTAGTTTTTCCACCAAAATAGTTATAGCAGCATTAGTACAGCTTCCTCCATAATGATCATACTACATACCTTGTTTTGTACATGGTACCTAGTTTAAAAAATATTTTTTCTTTGAATTCCCTCATCAACCTTGGTCTACACACGTAAAGCCCATCGTGTGACTAATAGTTCTTATGTGATCGCATATTCTTCACATTCAATGTCATCTATTGGTGGTATAGAGTCAATTTCTAATTCTTCATTAGTTTAAATCTCTCTATTGTCCCTTATCACCATGATTTTTTTTTAGGACAATGGTAGGCTATATGACCCTTGCCTTGACATTTAAAACATTTAATGTCTTGATTTTTAGTACTGGAATTTTCCCTTGAGTTCCTTGGTTGATTGTTTCTTGTCTTGGCTCGGGTATGGATTTTGTAATTGGTTCGTCCTCTTTTTTTTTTGAAAATTCGGCTTCCATGAAGAACTCACACTAGTTGACAAACGTGGCCCACCTCTCCTCTTGAGTTGTTGCTCTACCTTGATGGTCACATGTAACATGTCTTCCAACTCCACATAATGTTGCATCTCCACTCTATCTTGAAATTCTGGCTTTAAAACATTTAATAATCTAGCCATAGTAGCTTCTAAGTCCTCTTCTACATTAGCCCAAATCATACCCATCTCCATCTCTTGATAGTAATCTTCCAAACTTCGATTACCTTGCCTAAGCCTTTGTAACTTCTGATACAACTCTCGATAATAATGGTTTGGCACAAATCGCGTCCTCACAACAACCTTCATTTCTTCCCATGTTTCTATGGGACATTCTCAATTTCTCCTCCTACTCAACATTAATCTCAACATTAATTGATTAACATAATTAGTAAATTCAATTGCGGCCAATTTCACCTTCTTTTTTTCAGAATAGTTGTGGCTGTCAAACACTAATTCATCTTCTTCTCTCATTCAATATAGGCTTTAAGATTGTTTTTTTTCCTTGAAAAGAAGGAATGCGCATCTTAATACTTGCCAAGCTATTATCATCTCTATTCCTAATGTCTCAAGCTTGTCCACCATAACGCCTCCTCTCAACAAATAAATCCTTATCGTTCACTTCATCAAATCCAGCCTCATATTATTCTTCATCCTCCTCTCTCACTCCTCTCGGTGGAACTTTCTCCCTTTGCCTATTGGAAGCATTTTGTGGGGGTCTTTGTTGGATTTCCTCCCTCTACCCATTGCAATCTTTCATGAATTTGCTCTAACTTAGCCCTCATCATTCTTCTCATCTCCCCTACCAATGGTTGAAATTGGAGATTAGGAAAGGCGGGTTGCCTTTCCTCTTCTTAAAAATTCATTTGGGACATGATCGAGGACTTACAATGAAGGTAGGTAATCAAGAATTCGAAATTAACAACTCAAATCAAATTCTAAATTACCACAAATAAGAAAAAAATCGAAATGCTAAGCTAAACGTTGGGATGATGATATTGAAATACAATTTTCGATATCTTGAATCAAAATAAAAGCACCACTAAACTGATTTGGACAATCATATCAAGAACAATAAAAATATTAACAAAGAAATAAAAATAACAAGATCACATCAAAATGATTTGTAATTCAAGAAAAGAAAATAACAAGAAATGAAAATAAAAAGTTCACATCAAGAACAACATTTATCATAAACAAAATCAAGAACAAGATAATTTGAACAATAACATGAACACTGATTTGGACAATTTGAATAATAAATAGAACAACTGATAAGAATAATAACGAGGACAATCACATGAGCAATAACAATGTGAATATTTACAAGAACACGAATATGAATAATTATGAGAGTAGCTAATTGAACAATTAATTACGAAATGAAATAACAAATTGGATTATTTAGTAAAAATTGGACATGGATGAAAATTTAGACATAAGAAACAAGAAAATAACTAATCTCATAAATTACCCAAGAAAAAAAAAAGAAACATCCAACAAGAACACAAAAACCCAACAAGAAAATTGTGTTCAAGAACTATGAATCTCTGATACCAAACTCATGTGCATATATGCAAGACAGGAGCATGGGGATTGATGTTCTTTAAGAGAACCGGATGTGTTATGCCAAAACCAAAAAGAATTGAAGGAAATTCTTATGAGATGCAAGAAACCAAACAATAAAACCACCCTAAGGCTAGAACAAACTAAATTATAGGTAGAACCTAGCGGTAAATTGGATGGATGGAGGTAAATCTTTGCCTCAATGCTCAACGCAAACAAGAACATTGGTATAAGATTGCAACCCTATGCTTAATGTGAAAAAAGAACCTTGGTATAATGGAAGATGCCACAAATGGGGTGGAAATCCGCTTGATAAGTCGAGAAAGAACTCTTTAGGCGATTGCCTAGAGTTTTGTTGGAATCCTAAGGAAACCATGGGAGACAACCCAAATGCAAGTTCTTTTACCAAGAAAAAAGTCACTTTCTCATTTGAAGTAAGGCTTATATATAAACTAAAGCTTACAAACAAACAAAAGAGAAGATAAAATATCTTCTAATTAAATGAAAGAAAAACTACATCAAGTTGTTATGCAAGCCATTATTAAACCACAATAAAAAATACAAAATATCAAGCCATAATAATATGACTCTTTTATCCTTGGGCTTGGAATAAGTTGAAAAATCTTTGTGGCTCATTCTCCTTAGATCGCCATGAATTGGTTTGAGTCCATGCCTCTTGGACTACTCCATTAATAGCTTCTTCTACCCTCTTTGCTAAACATCGAGTAATTAGCCCACATGGAGCTTGAATTAAATCTTCTCTTGAAGTTGTGTCATTTCCATCCATGATATCATTTCCATCCATGATATCATTTGCAATCACTCATGCTATCTCTGCCTCTTTATCTCTCTTTCTCTCTATCTCCTTACCTCCCTCTCTACATTTATCTCTCTTTTCTTGCTTGTCATCTCTTGCTCTCTCTCTTTCTTTTCTTTGTCTTACTTGCTAACTCTCTCCTACTCATTACTCACACTCTTCCTCTTATTTTGCTTTCACTCACTCATTGTAACTCTATCCCTCTCACTCTCTCACTCCCATTCTCTCCCTCCTCTCTCTATCTCTCCTTCTCTCACTCTTTCTGTATCTTACACTTTCTCTAGCTAAATCTCTCTATATATTCATTTATCTCTCCTCCTATTGCTTTTGATAGAAATCATTTTCCCTCCCTCCCAAATTTTGATACCTAAGTTTCCATAAATAGTTCTAACTGTATGGGAACAGTGATCAATTTTGGCATGAATTGTTTGTAGGGGAACCCTGCCTTCTTTGATACATTAGACACATGCAATCTCTTTTCCGTCGATACGTCCTGCAATTTGCACCTGAATTCCTTTTGTATCGGTTTGTTCGATTAATTTAATAGGTTTTTTTTTTCTTTCGAAATGAGATATTTATTTCTTCCTTTCTATCTCCCTCTTCTCTTTTTCTTCTTGTCTCTCTATCCCCCTCCCCCTATCCCTCTCTTCACGCTTCTTCATCTCATCAAATCTCTCACTCTCTCATTTCTTACTTTCACTCCTTATCCCTCCATCTCTCTCCAAACTTTCTCTTAATCTAACTCTTTCACGCCCTCTCATCTCCTCTCTTTCTTCATCACTATTGTTCTTCCTCTCTCTCTCTCCTTATTTCTTCTCTCTCCTTTTCTTTCTCTCAATCCCTCCATTTTACTCATTCTCTCTAGCTCTCGCTCCTTCTCTCTCACACACACCCTCTCTCTTTCTCGTTCAATCACTCTATCTCTCTCAATCTCTTCTCTCTCTTCATGTGAGACAAGGAGAGAGAGGGAGTCCAACATACACACACTCTCACCCTTTCACTCCTCTACACTTCTATTCTCCTCTTTCCACCTCAACCTAGCTCTCTCTCCCCATCGCACCCTCTTTTGGTCCTTATGTCTCCTCTCTCCATTTCCATCTCCTCTCCGACTCAAACTAACTCTCTTATCACCATTCATCTCACTCTTTGCATTTTATTTTTCTACCTCTCTTCATCTTTCTTTCCCATTTGTTCAATTCTCTCTCATTTTCTCTTTCTTGCTCTATCTCTCTTTCTATATCTTTCTTTCTGACTTGTATTTAAAAGGAACAATGGAAATAGAGAAAAAATGACAGAGCATAAGAGAATTGGCACCTCTCTTGTAACTTCAAGAAATTGAGAGATATATAGAGGGACAAATATGGAGGTGAAGAGAAAATCTTGCTTTCTCCCACTTTCTCACTCACTCTCTCACTCCTTTCTTCTCTCTCCCCCATTTCCCTCTTGTTACCTCCCTCCCTCCCTCCCTCCCTCCATCTCTCACCCTACCCTCACTTTTTTCTTTCCTCATCATCTCTCACTCGCTTTATCTCTTTTCCCTCACATTATATTTATTTTCTTCTTTCCGTCTTCATACCACGCTTTCACTCTCTCACTTATTTGCCCTTCCATCACTCTCCATTTCCCCTGCTCTCTCTCTCTCTCATATCTCTCTCTTCTCTCTCACTCTCTCTATTGCTTTCTCTTACCCTCTCCCACTATCGCTCCAATCCTTCACTCAATTACTCTCTCTGTCTCTCTCTTATTAGGGAAAGTGCGAGGGGTGGGTAGCATAGAGGGAGAAGTATAGAGGAGGGCCAGGTTGATGGTATGAGAGAGGCTGAGAGGGGAAGAGAGAAGAAGAAAGAAAGAAGAGCTAGAGTGAGAGGAAGAGAGAGTGAGTGTAAGAAAGAGAGAGAGATATAGAGAGAATAGAAAGAGGAAGTGAGATCGAGAAATAGGTGAGTAAGTGAGACAAAGAGAGTGTGGGAGGGAGAGAGTGAGGGAAGGAGCAAAAAAAAAGAGAGTGAGATAGAGAGAGAGAGAGAGAAAAATAGTTTAGAGATGTGGACACCAATGAAGGGAGGGATAGGAAGAGAGTTAGAGTCAAAAAGTGCTAAAATTATTGAGAGAGAGATTAACAGAGAGACAATGAGAGAAAAAGAGAGAGAATGTGTGTGAAGAGAAAGAGGGAGATAGGGAGGGAGGCATTCATTCTCTCCTTCCCCCCTCCCCCCCACTCTTGCTCTATCTAGCTTTCCATCTTTCTCACGCACTCTCTTCTTCCAGCTCTCTTTCTTTCTCATTCCCTCTCCAACCCTACCTTCTCTCTGTCAATTTTTATTTTTTTATATCAATCTCTCTCTCTCTCTCTTTAGCTCAAGCTATTGAAAAAGAAAGAGAAAACATAACATAAATAGTGCAAGTGAGAGGTAGAAAGGAATGGAGTGGATAGAGAGAGAAAGTGAAAGATTTAGAGTAAGAGAAAGAAATAAAGAAGATAAGGATGGAGATAGAGATAAAGAGTGAGGGAAGATAGAGTGGAAGGGAGAAAGAAATAGAGAGGGGGATTGATAGACGTAAAGAGATGTAAAGAAAGATAAGGAGAGAGTATGAGACAGGGATAAATATAAAAAAATGGAGAGAGGGAGGTATGAAGTAGAGAGAGACTGAGAGTGAGAGATAAGAGCTAGAGATTTCAAGCAAAGAGAAGCATGAGTGAGAAGGAAGAAGTGGGAGAGAACGAGAGAGAAAATGAGAGAAGAGGGAGGGAGATAGAGAGAGAGTGATAGAGGAGAGAGGGAAATAAAGAGATAGAGATAAAAAAGAGTTTATTTCCCTCACTCTCGCTTCTCTCGCTCTCTCACAAATGAAATTAAAAAGAGAGAGAGTGAAAGAAAGCGAGGGATGGAGAGATGGAGGGTGGTAGTGAGAGAGAGAGAGATCTCTTACTAGCTCCATATCTATATCTCTTTCTCTTACTCTCGTTCTCTATAAATCTCCCTCTTCTCCACTCTTACACATACACAATTACGCTTCTCTTTCATATCCTACTCTATGTTGCTAGAGACAGATAGAGAGAGATCAGAATAAATAATGATAGGGAAGTGAGAGAAAGAGAGGAAGAGATTGAGAGTGGTAGAAGAGAAAGTGAGAGAGATTGATGGTATGAGAGTAAGAGCGATTGATAGAGGGAGATAAATAGAAGGAAAGAAGATATAGTGAGAGAAAGAGGGAGGGTGATAGAAGACTGAGATAGAGAGAGAAGAGAGAGGTAGAGAATAGAGCGGGTAATACAGAGGTAGAGAGGGATGAAAGGGAGAGTGGGATAATTAGAAACATATTAAGAGAAAGAGAGAAAGACAGACAAAGTAAAAGAGGGAGAGTGTGTGTCAAAGAGTACGATGTTGCTCTATCTCTCCCTCCCTCTCTCTATCATCAATGGCATTTTTTCTTTCTCACGCTCTCCCTCTCTCTCATTATCTATCTATCAATCTCTCTCCCACTCCTTACCTCTCACTCTATCCCTCTCCCTCTCTTTATTATTATTTTCCCCTCACTATCCCTCCTAAGTCTCTTATATTCTCTCAATTTTTTTCTTTCGCTTCTCTCTATCACTCTTCTATCTCCCTCTCAATCTCTCCCCCTTACTTGCTTACCTCCCTCTATTTCTCTCTCCCACTTGTTCTCTCCCCCATCTCTCTATTGCTCCATTGCTCCTTCTTTCATTCCTTCAAGCTATCTTTCACTCCATTGCTTACTCTCTCCCTCCCCCTATTCCCCTCTCTCTCTCTTTCTCACTCACCTCTCTCTTTCTATGTATTTTTCTCCCTTTTGACTTATATTTCTATCTCTCTCATCGTTATCTATCTCATTGAGAGAGAGTGTGTGCCCGAATATATATTTCAATAAATATTGCATATTAGACTCTATTCATTATAACAAGAGTGAGGAAGAGGAGGGACAAAAAAGGATGCAGGCTCTCTCTCAACTAGGTGGAGAGAGAGGAGAGGGAGAGAGTAGATAGGGAGAAAGCAGGTGAGAGAGATATCAAGAGTGAGAGAGTGTGAGATAGAGCAAGAGAGAGAAAGAGAGTAAGGGGAAGTGGGATAAAGGGAGATATATAGAGAGATAGTGAAGGAGAAAGAGTGGGAAGGTAGAGATATGACAAAGAAAGAGGAGGTAAGTAGAGGTGGAAAGTAAGTGGGAGGGAGGGATACAACAAGAATGTCAGGGTGAGAATAGAGGGATAATGATAGAGAATGAGAGAGAAATAAAATGAGAGAGAAGGATAAAATAGAGATAGAAATGCTAGGGAGGAGAGGGAGGAGAGGGAGAGAGAGGAGTGAGAAGGAGAGCATGAGAAAGGGAGACGGAGAGTGAAAGATAAATGGGGAGGGAGAGAGGGAGCAAAAAAGCGTGAAGAGAAAAGATAGAAAGCTAAGAAAGAGTGAGAGTGAGAAAGATGGTCTGTACATGATGGAGAGATGGAAGGTGGTAGAAAGAGATCTCTCACTAGCTCTCTATCTATCTCTTTTTCTTATTCTCATGCTTTGTAACTCTCCCTCCTCTCACTCTCACATTCTTTCTCTCTCCCTCCT